GTAGCTACAGTATTTCTGCAGTTAAACTACTAAAAACACAGAGCTCTATAACTACCACACTTTCTCCCTTTTCTGCATCTTGAGCTTCTGCAGAAACTCGCTTGTCTTCTGTGTACTTGCCACCAGTTTCAGCCTTCTTTTCATTTGTGACTCGAAGGACTCAGCACTAGCAATATCTACCAATTAAATACAAAAGTACCTGTACAAATTATGATAGTAAAAATGCTTGGAATTGACAAAGTACTTTTAACTCTTCAAAGCCCTGGCATGTACATTATCATTTTTGTATGCCACAATAATGTCCCTCCCTCCACTACCACCTATGTATGTGTGTCGTTGTTTCAGAGAGAGTAGAATGATGTCACTTGGGATGAAGGAAATTAAATCTTAACTAAAGTTTTCTCTTTAGGTAGTCCCTATCTCAATAGGGCTTAGGTTTTTTTGTTTGTTTGTTTGTTTACTTAACATCTTTATTTCCTAACTCTTGGAGAGTGACAACTTTTTAGCTTAATGTCAGGCACTATGCTAAGCAGTTTAGGTACATTATCTCATTTAAATATCACTACAATAATTTGAGGTGAATAAATATCTTCATCTTTAAGATGAAGAAACTGAAGCTTTTAGGATAGCTCTGTCAAAACAAAGTATAATTCAAGTCACGTGCGTAATTTTAAATTTTCTAGCAGCCACATTAAAAATATTGAAAATAAGCAGGTGAAGTTATTTTAACAGTATGTTTATTTAACTAATTCATCAAGAGATTATCATTTCATCATGCAATTTATAAAAAGTACTAAGGACATATTTTATTGGGTTGTCGGAAAAGTCGTGACATATTTTTTCTGTTTTTCGTTGCGAAAATGCATCATGACTTTTCCGACAACCCAATACATATGTGTGTGCGTGCACATGTGCCAAGCAAGTCTTCAAAAAAGGGTATGCATTTTACACTCACAGCATATCTCAGTTTGGGTTAGCCACATAGCAAGTGCTCAATGGCCACAAGTGGCTAGTGACTATCTTATTAAACAGTACAGGTCTAGAGATTAATTTGCCCACAGATACACAACTAGAATATGCCAGAGCCAGAACTCAGAATTTGGTGTAAATCCAAAGCCCTTTTCTGAATCACTGGGCATCATCACTGCCTCCTACTAATTGCAGCTGTTGCCTATGGTAAATATGAAATATGAAAAATATCATGGGCAATGCTACTTATTCCGTTTTACGGTTTTGTGCCCACACATCCACCTGCTTCCTCAATAACATGGTGATTTATCGATTGCAACATTTATGTGCAATATGTGGGAAAAGTTGTTGTGGAACACCCAAAGGAATCTGATGCAAAGCAACTGTCGCGTGATAGTTACCGGCTCGAAATACTCATTGGCATATGCCTGTATGACCTGTGCATTCTCTCTGTGGACAGAGTACATGGGGAGGCAAATCACAGATGGCACGCTGCTTTAATAAGTGGTGTTTCAATGCAAGGCAACTGAAATCCCAGAATATTTGGTAGGCTTTGTCAACCTGATATCAAGGATGGTTTTGCCAGCGAGATGAAAATATACATTGAGAGGGGTTACCAATGATCATCTCACTGCGTCTTTTACTAGGTCTCTATAGCTGATCAACCCTTTTCCAGATAAACACATTATTTCTCAGTTTTAATCAATTCTTACTGGTCTGAGAAACAGCCTTACTTAAAGTATTTTAAATCTCTTATCTGACCCATTCTATAATTATATAATGGCTTAATAGTTTAATCCTCAGAGATTAGATGCATTTCCATGTTTATAGGGTAGACATGACCATAATTGCCCTTCTCTGATCTTAGCTCAAGTTCGAAATTGGAATACTGAACAAACAAAACGCAGTAAATATCACAATTCCTTCATGGCATTGCTTCCAAAAAACAAATTCTTACAGTTCCATTCTAACTCTTAAGGGCTTTTGCTAATTATAAAATATTTGACGTAATGTAAATTCTGAAAACGTGTAACCACACAGTCTGAGGACCGTATGCTGAGGGTCAGCATAATGGACTGGAAATGACATGGGTTTGAACTTCCGAACTCTATACTTTACAGCTGTATAACCTTGGACATTTTACCTAGTATCTGTGTCTCAGATTTCCTCATTTGTTAAAAAAAAAAAAGGAGAAGAAGAAGAAGCTAATACCTATTTCATAGAATGATTTTGAGCATTAATAGGACAGTGTATAAAATGCAGATTGTACATAAAAGGCATTCATTCAAGAAGTCCTTCTCTCTGTAAGGAAGCAGAGCACTCATCAGTCCTTTTTAGAGTTAAAACACTGAAAGGAGAGCTTTTGCCAGGTGTCCTGGCTTTTGGTTATTCCATTGCTCATTGGTGCCACCATCAGACAGAACACAGGAGAAGAGAAAATGGGGAAACATTTTTTTCATTATTTTCAGATCTGGATTTCTGTCAGTCTTATCAACAAACTGAATTTCTCAGATAATTTTCTAGGTTGCTTGGTTCAACGAGTAGTCTCCTTGGTTTGTAAGGAATGTTTCTATTCTACAGATATCATTTTCTGTAGGACTATACACTGAACACTAAATGTCGTACTATATATTATAGAAGAATTCAGATTAACTATAAAGCAGCCCTTTAGCTGAATTTAGGAGTTAGACACTCTGAATGGAAATCCAGAGTCTGCTGCTCTGGAGCTCCATGTTCTTGTGCAAATGACCTGTCCTCTGTGATCATCAGTTTTGGAAACTAAAAGGTGGATACTAATATTAATCTCATGAGTCTGTCATAATAACTTTAAATACTTCATAACTGCCACTGAATAGTTCCCCCCTCTTGGGTTTAGATGGAAATCTTAAGAAGTCAATTAATTGGTGTCTAATGTGGATGTTATGAATGATTATTAGTGCTCAGAGAGTGCCTCCATGGCACGGCTTTACCACACTGTCCTGGATTAATCAGTGATTGTATTTTCTTTGAGTTCCTGCCATCCCCTATGACAGTCTCATCCAGCAGTGCAACTCCCAAGAGTCAGGGCTGTAATCATTTGACAGTTTCTGATTTCACCTCCAAAGGCATTTCCTAGCTCTCAAGAAGAGGACAATGCATGCGCTGGATGTGGTGAATAATGGAGGCAGAGTTACAGGAGGAGTAAAATGTAATGGTAAATACTTCCTCGTGTCCTCTTTCATGCAGACCGCAATGAACTGCGGTGCTAATGCCGCTGTTGTTCTCAGTAGTGGCTTTAGGTGTATATAAAAAAAAGAAAAATGGCAAAAAAAAAGTGATATGAGAATTATCTGAAACGAGGTTTTAACCTTTAAAAGTATCAGGAATTGGAAAGACGGCAGTTATGAAGATGGAGAAGGGAAATAAATCATAAAGATTTGCCATTAAAAAAAAAACTTCTTATGAAGAAGCTATTGGAAAATCAACTCATGATAATTGGCAAAATGTTTTCCTTCTTGATGTCCTATCCACATGGAGATGCATCCCCCTCTCCATTCAGCAGACAAAAATAAAAATTAATACTGTGCTCTTGGCACTCGAAAACATTATCTACTTTTTCTCCTTTTATTTCAGGAGAGTCTCCTTCCCCCAAAAAACAAAACAAAACAACAACAACAACAAAGAACCCCAGAGCGCTAGGAGGGTAAGTTTTTCTGTTGGTTAAACACGGAAAATGTATTCTTCCCCTGAAACCCTACACCTTTCTGGAGAGGAATTTAGAGAATTCACCTGGTTCATTCTCCGGCCTCTGGGTAAATTGAAGGACTTGCTCCTTGGAGCAAGAATCAGAGTGGATCAGCTGGGAAGGTTTTGGTTGTTGGTGCCATTTGCTTTTAATCCTGTGATTGGGACGGGGGAATTACCCCCTGCTTCTAGGTAATCACGACCCATCCGAGTCATAAAGCAGTCACATTGCCCCCTCGTAGCTTTAGTGGTCTTGGGAGACCTGACACCCCATACCCGCCCGGGCGTCACCGACTAGGCAGCCGGAACGCGCTGGCAAGCACCAGTCTTGCGGATCCGGGCTGGGTTTCTCCCTCTCTTGCATCCTTTCCTACCTCGGAAACGCGCTGTCCACGCCCGCGATGCTGCCCGATCCCCGGCAGCGAAGCGGCTGGACCCCACTAAAACAGTCCGAAGCCACCGACCTGCTTAAAGCTCACTCGTACTTGCTGTCTTCAGTAGGCAAATGCTAGATCGCTCCCTTACCCCCTTCCTCGCCGCCTCATATGATCAATCTGAAAGGCAAGCGAGGTACCAGACCCGGCTCACAGTTGAGTATGATATATGCAGACACAGTCTCTGCTCCAACTGCGGCTTTGCCGGGCTCCTGCCCCTATTTCCACTAGTCTGCCTTAACTATCCTTTGTATGAGAAAATGGTGCTGCCGGGTGCTTGTTGTCTAGCTGGAGTCAGGGCGGTCAGCGGAATCCGAGAAAAGCACACAGAATAAGGAAGATAAAACTTATATAAGATAATGTGAATGAGTACAACTTAAACGGAAGCCTAAGAGAGCAACGAACGGAGGACCGAGCGGAGCAATGCACACCCTCTCTTTTGCTCTGCAAAGCCGACAGCCCAAAAGCCATGCGTTTTCCCCAGTAGCGGGTCCCGCACACGCGTGTGCCGCCAGCACGCATTCTGTCGCCTCGTCGGGCGCCGAACAGTAACTTCCTAAGCTTACCTCCATCTCGCCCCCGCCCTTCTCCCCTGGTTGCCTGTCAGCCGGGAGGGGCCGCCCCCGGAGCGGTGGGTGATGTGGGGTGCAGGGAGTGGGGACCAGAGGGGGGTACCCAGCAGTTGGTGCTGCGCCATCCCCTCCCAGCAGGCGGCCCGAGCTCTGGTTCACTTCTCTCCCCCCACGCTCTACTCGCTCACCCCCCTTCCTTCCCCCTTCTCCCCCCCTATCTAGTCCCTCCCCCTCGCCATTGAAAAGGGCTGGCTCCGCACTGGCTCCTTGCAGTCGGCGAACTGTCAGGGCGGGAGGAGCTGTAAGCTTGAGCTGCACGCAGCGGCCCGCGCGGCAAAGCAGAAAGCAAGCTGAACAGAGTGCACTGAGTGGCAGTGGCAGCGGCGACACCGGCGACACAGGCAGCCCAGGCCACCCGGGCGGCCCAAACAACCCCAGAAGCAACCGCCACAACAACCAGCTGCTCCGCGGACTGCGAGCTGTGGCGGTAGAGCCCGCTACAGCAATCGCAGTCTCCGTGGAGCCGGCGGAAGCCTTTTCTCTTTTTCACTCCCCACTTCATTCTACTCTAGAGGCTACAATCACAGGGTAAGTATCCGGTCCGGGTGCGAGAACAGAGTGTGGCGTGTGAGGCGTGAGTCGCGCACTTAGAGCGCAGAGGCTTCCCGCTGCCTGCGCCTGGGGTCTTGACTTGGGACCACAGCGTGGTTTTAAGGTCGCTTCTGGCCCCCTCCCTTCCCCCTACCCCTCTCTTCTTTCCTGGAGGTAAGAGAAAGAGCAAACCCGGGGGGTGAGCGCAGATACAATATCTTTTTGGCACGGCCCCCGCTAGGCTTGGCTCAGTTACTTTGCGAAAACTCTCACTTCTGTCAGAAAAGTGTCCGCGCATGAATTTCCCCGACATTGGCGGTGCAAAAAGGTCTTTCGCTTGAACCAATACAGCCAGCTGCAGCTAGGCTGGCAGAAACTGTGAGAGTGGGGCAGGGGCTGAGAAAAGATCGCACGCTGCACTCTCGGGCCAGCGGAGGGGCAATGCCCGGAGCCCAGCGCCCGCCTCGGACTTGGCGAGGCAGAGCCCCGCCGCGCGCTTACCTTTGGGGGCTCGCGGTTTGGCTCTCTGCCGGGCTGGCTCTAAACCTTGGGGATCCGAGCCCCGGCGCAGGGCAGAGGAGAGCGCCGCGCACTCCTAGGAGCGCGCAGGGTCCCCCGGGCCATTCCGCCTCCCCGCCCTTCCCGCCCTACTTAAATGGGGCTGTGCTCAGCCAGCACCTACAGGATGTGGAGATGGTAGGTGTGGAAAAGCCTGCCCAGCTTTAAAAAAGGGAACTTCTCATCATCGCGTAGCCCCAAAACGGCATCCTTTTCTCATTTAAAACAAACATCACTTTTTCTAAGAGTGTAGCCAAACGTAAGAGGGTTCCTCTTTCTCTAAAGAAATGACTTTTCATCCCTTATCCAAAAAACGCCTACCTAGCCCATGAACGAATGGCGTTTACTTAGAACCGAAAAACCCTACATTGCTCCACAAAGGAATTATGTGGGTAAGCGCGGAGCCATAAAACGGCCTCTTTTCGCCAAAAGGATGGCCTCTCAGTCAGAGCGTCTTTGGAAAAGGTGACTTTTTAAGAGCGCGTAGCTGCGAACGGGTCCTTTTCTTTCGAGACTTGATAAGAGTGGAGCGGCGGTCTGCCCTCGGTTGGGGACACGACTTGCATATGAGCGCTTAGCCGCAGATGGACTTCCTCCCCTCGCAAAAGGAGGGGGGCGGGGGGCACTCTCCAAGAGTATCTAGTGAGAACTACTTCCTTGCCTCCCCCAAGGAAAGACTTTTAGAGCTCAACCGAAAACAGGCTCTTGGATTCCAGAGTGCATTATTCCGTGCTTCACTGCTTTGGCTGTCTTTGCGGTTTGGGGTGCGGGGCGCCGGGTGCGTGTGCGCGCGCGTCGGCAGGCGGGTTCCCGCATCTCCGATCCGCGTGCCCTTCCAAAAGGTTGGCTCCGGGGCTGGGAATCAAAACTTGCGCCACTGCGGCACACACCCACAAAGCAAGGACCCGAGAGAAGAGGGGCTAGGACAAAAGAACACAGCCAATTAAACAGCAGGAACAAAACCCAAAGCCAGTGCTTTTGTGTGGTAACATCCCAAGGTGAAATTGAAACCTAGCACAGGAGCTCTTTTTGTAGGAAGGAAAGTGTGTGCAAGAAAAGTATTTTAAAAATCGGGATAGGCGAGTAAGGGCGGGCGGGGGGGGGCGGGCGCAGGGAAAACAGAGACGGGGCGATGGTGTTAAAACGCCGCCTGCGTGCTCGTAGCGCTGCAACAAGAAAACAACCTGAGGAGCGGACGGAGAATTCTTAACACTGCACCGCACCGGAGAAGGTAGCGGCGCTTTCGGACTAAAGCGACTGCCCCCTCCCCTCCCATAAAACGTTAAAACAGGTGTGAGTCAGAAAAGAAAAAGAAAAAAAAGGTACTTGCGGGCACCTTCTGCACTAGATCAAGATTAAGTGGAATTCCACTCTCAGTCTTGTTTGAAACAAACTCGCACCATCACGGCGGGAGTAGCAACCTCAGGGCTGTCCTTTCGCGCGCGCGCCTGTGCGTGTGTGTTGAGGATGGGTGGGACGTTGGAAAGCAAATCGAAATAATAGTATTTGTACGTTTTCCCCTTTTCTTGCCTTTGTCTGGCTCCTCGGAGGAAGCGCGGACCGTGTGCGGGCGGTTTTGCGAATGAACCAGGAGATGGACGCGCTCAGGTCTAAAGATACCTTTCTCCCTCCGCTCCATTAAGAATTGCCGCGCGCAGCTCGCGCGGGCTGAGTCCAGCCACCACCGCGCTGCGCTCGCCAAGCGGCGAGGGAGCGCCTCTGCGAGCGAGGCCCGAGAACCCTGGTTCTTCAGTCGCCTTTGCATGAGCGGCCCCTCCTTCTGGCAGTGATGTCAGCCCCTGAGAGGCTCAACGGGGCCGAGAGGCAGCCGGGTGGCTGGCCCCGGCCGGGAGCGCGAGCAGCCCTGCCCCGCGCGCTCCCTGTGCGCAGCCGCCCTCCATCCCTTTCTGCCCCCTTCCCGCGCTCCAACCCTCGGCCCCGCCTTCCAGCTCCTCAGCTCCTAGGAGGCGCGCGGAGGCGCCCGAGGCGGAGGAGGCCACTGCGGTCCTGGCCGGGCCCGGTTTGGATCCCGGTGATCCCAGATTTCGAGTCGTCTCGAACTCCTCTCCTCCTTGAACCTACTCCCCCCTCCCCCACGTTCTCTGCCTTTTTCAGTTTGCACCTTCACTATTCACTGTGAATGTACCTCTTTAGCGGCATTTTAGAGGGCAAGTTCGTCAGAGAAAATAATAATAGTTACCAGTGTTAAAATTCCGCAGTTTTCTCTCTTGGTGATAAGGGAAGGGGATGTGAAGACCGGCATCTTTAAAATCCCGTGGCTGCTGCTTAGCCTGCAGCAGAGCACGCTCCCTAGAAGCCCGAAGAGGGTCGTCTTCCCAAAGAAATGGTGCGGCGGGGGAGGGGAGCAGTCGAAGGCTTAGGCGCAGGGTGGAGAGTCCCCTTCACTGAAAGAAGGGACTGGAAACTGGGAGTTGCGGAGAGAAAGGCGCCAGGAGCTGCTGCCGCAGGGGAGAGGCCACCGTGCTTTTTATTATAAAGGCTGCGCAGTCACTTGTAGAGACCTGCACGCCAAATTGGGACGATTCAGAAATAGGACTTGACAAGACAGAAGCCCAGTGAGGCGTCCTTTCTAAGTTTGCTCTTCTCGTTTTAAGGAACAACCACCACCTGCTTTCCCGAATTTGAGGCTAATCCGTTGCCCCTGATTGCGGACAATTCTTTCTTGAGCTCTGGGAGCAGTTTGGAGCTCGCAGTTGGAGAAGGTTGCCCAAGGCATGAGGGAGGGGACGGAGGCTGGGCGTGTGGAGGCAAATCGGCCTCGGAGCCTCGGGACTGATCGACCTTCCCAAGGAAATAACATTCACAGGGGACCGCAACTGCTTACCTACTGTGTTTTGGTTTGGAGGCAGGTGGGAGATTCCAGGGAAAGGGAACAGGAGCAAGGAATTATTCCGTTTTGTAAATCGAGGGTTTTGTTGTCTTCTCTTTGATGGAAGGCTTCCCTTAGATAATATATCAGCCAAGGCAGCAAACTTCAAGTTGCTCTGCGTTTGAAATACAGAAATGGGAAGTAAACTCAGACCAAGCATAAACACGCATTCATTTTCTAGAGTTCAATCATTTGGTAAGGGTTGAAAGAAGTGTCTTTTTATATCAATCACTTGAAAGTGATTCTGATGGACCCCCAAGTAATGTTGGGTTTTGGCAGCTGGGAACCCTGGCAGAAGGGATTGCAGATTTCACATGATTTCTTGCCTTGGTACTAAAAAGTTTGTGTTTTTTTGCAAGATAGAAATTCCTGATGGCTTCCAGACTGCTGGTGGCAGGAAGAAATCTGGTAAGGGATTCAGAAAGCAGAACATTCTCCTTTTCTCTATGCAAGCAGTCCACAGTAGCCTTTAGCTAGGATTTATAAGGTTCTTGGGGAAGGGAAAGGAAGCACACGGACAGGGAGATTTTATGTACACTGCTGGCGTTAAGCTACATTGACGAATTATGTATTACTGCCAGGGTTTTCTATTAGTGGAAAGGGAAATTATAAAGAGGCTGAAAATTTGGAATTTAATTTTCTCCAATGATCTGGCTTCACATGTTTTAAAGATGTCATCCCTTTATTTATTCACCAAAGAATCCACAAACATGAGTCACCTACTGTGCCAGACAATGTGCTGGGTTCCAGGAATATAAAAGAAGATGTTGCTTGGGCCTCTGTGAGCCTGAAGACTCTTACAAATTTATGATAGAATGTGCTAAAGGCTCTAATTGAGGATAATGGAGGGAGAAATTAATTTTTGCTAAGAGGTTGAGAGAAGATTCATAAGGTAGGGGTGTCTCTGGCTTTGAAAAACAGGCATCCCTAGGCAGGGGCTAGCCAGGAAGCAGAGCTCAAGGAGCAGGACACAAACTAAGTAAGGAAAGGTATGGGGGGCCTGATGTCCCACTGCACAGTTCAGAGGGATGTGTTTATATTGTAGCCATATGCCGCCTTTGAAGATTTTTCAAGTGGGTATTTAAAAACAACAACAAAAACAAGGTGAGAAAATTGAGCAGTAGGTGGCACACAATAGGAAAAAAAATGGTGGTTGTTTGTCTTTAAATGAATATTTGAATAAACTAATGCATCAGAATAGAGAGTGGAGGCAAGGAAGTTAAGAATATACTGTAGCTTCCAGAAAAGAGGACAAATGAGTCAAGAGGACCTACAATACATCAGTAGAACTAAGAAAGAAAGGAATGCTATTCCGAGGAAGAATGTTTCTTCGCTCATAATCATCTATCCACTTATATCTTTACACTGGACTCATCTCAGCTCCCCCATCCAGCCTTCCAAATTCTCAATCCTCTACCATTAGAGTAAACTTCAGCCACTTGCAAGCACACTTATCCCCCCCCCCCGTACCCCATTTTCCACACACCTCCCTGCATCATCTCTATGCTCTATATCATCTCTTCCACCCTTGCCCGCCTGGGTGCTCTCT